GCCGTCGACCGTTAACTCTTTCTCATCGTCGCGTTTCAGCCGGCACGTCTCTCGGTTCCCTCATCCAGCCGTCGTCGCGCAAGCGAACCTCGATCACCGATCAGCGTCTAATCGACGAGGAAGTAAAAGGGCGGGCGAGTTTCGGCGCGATCTCTCGGCGCAGGTACAGCACACGTGTGTCCCTCGACGATACTTTCGATGAGCGAGCATCCCGACTTTCGGCGACTTTCTTGATCGGCCCGAAAGTGTGCTGCCGCGTCTGCTGCTCTCGCGCGAGCTCTTAACCTTTGATTCGCCGCGCGATCTCTAACCAAATCGTCCTCGATACACGATAGAAACTACGCGCGCGACCGGCCGGCGAGTAACTCTCCCTTTAGAAGAAAAGAAACGAATGAATCGGGAGAACGTTCCTTCTTTTCTTTTTCTTTTTCTTCTCGTTTTCCTGTCTTTCTCACGGGCGACGGAGGCGCGAACCGCCGTAACATAGTAGCCGGGTTCCGGGAAAATTATATGTTATGCTGGAGAGGAAGTGGCACGGCGAACGGGGTTATGTTCTAATAATTGAAGGCATTACGCAATTTCGTCTAATTGGAATGTATTGTGCATTAGTGGGCGAGCGCGTAGGGTAATCTGGTCGCTTTAGTATCGCCGGGGACCATTCAACGGGACCGTCATTTTTGTTGCGAACCACTCCGTCTTCGTCTTCCCCCTGCAGCATCTTTATATCTGTGTTCCACTTTCTTCCGAGGAGTGAAGAGATGATTTCAGGAAATTTAGTGTTTCCGCCGGTTCGCTGCTTCCTCGGAGGTTTCTTTATAAGCTTCTTAATACGTTTTAAATTTCTTTATGGATCTCGAGAATGACGCCTTTTTATCGACGCTCGCGTTAAGCTCGCCTCGCTCCTCTTTCCCTTTTTTTTCCGGGAAAATCTCATTTTACCGAGGTTTCCTGCTGTTATTTCGTAAGATGGTTACATCTGACGTTCTGATAACAATTTCACACGTTAGTATTTCTTTGTATCGTCTAAGAAATTCTCAGAGTTCCTTCGTATCAACTGCCGTCTCGAGATTTCAATCAGAAAGAATTCAATAAACTGTACTGCGAACTACAATAGACATGCTCGCACGAAAAAGATCCTAAACAATTAGCTACCATTCCGAATCTACTCGAAAATTCCCGATCGATGAGACGAAGAATCGCGGTGTCGTTAACGAGCGAACCCGAAAAAGGACGTGTAGTCGATTGTGGACGTCGCAGGAATCCGTGTCGCGCTTTTACCAGATTTTACGGTGTGTATCGTGATTGGAACCGCGCCGGATAGGTGGCCGATGTCCACGCCGGCTGACATTAACAACTATCGAGCGGCTGGTATGCGGCTAATAAGGCACTAGGAAATCCAACGGCGGCGGCCAGGGAATCCAGTAACCCAGTGACGCATGAGAAACCGCCGGTACTAATCGGTGACGTGAGAACCGTACCGAGATTTAGATACACGAGCAACGGTGGCTCGGCGCTGCGGGACGGTTCGGTTTACGACTCTCTAATAATGAGATAGAGGAGCGAGCCCCGGCGCCGCGTCGCGCCGCGCTCTCCCGCGTAACGAGCGAGCAACGTGAAATTTCTACTTTTGTGAATCCGAGGAAAGCATCTATTCATCCGCTCGCAGATCCGTGACGACGGGGCGCAGCGCCAATTTTCATGGCAGCTCTTTTTCCGCCTGCCCTCCCCCCAACTCGCGGCGCGTTCCACTGCGGACGTTTTTAACGGACGTCGTTCCGATTTTTCTGTCCGCGTTTTGCACGACATTCGAAAACCACGGACGATTTACGAGGCTCCCGATTCTCTATGCTGCAGGGATCGAGGAGAGTTCCTCGTTGGACTCCGATGCAGGCTGACGCGTGGCTTTTCTCGGGTGACTCATATTTCTGGTGTTTGTGAGAGATAAGTGTGTATTTCGATAGGAATGTGTTTGTTTTAAGCTCGGAGAAGGAACATTCTGTTGAAAGAGACCGTTTAGATTTTTGGGGAATAATGTATGAGAATAGGAAGCTAGGAAGTTGCGAAAGTATCACATCGTTTGTGTTCGTCGTTGACCCGTTGATTTTCAGTTAACGGGAAATCGTCGACGTTTCGATTTCGCTGTTCCGCGGAGAAAAGTGTGGAAGAGTACAATATTTACGTCAGCCTCTCGCATTCTTACGGATCCGCGATGCGCGAAGAGGATCTACGGCGATATGAAAAAGGCGTTTCAACCACAACCTGGCTGGTTTCAGATTATAGCAGCGTTTCCCTGTCCGCGGGACTTCGCCACTAACGAAAGTCTCCTCTTCCTTTCAAAATAATTCCCCGGTGTATTTTTTGTCGCCGCAGGATCCCTCGCGATCCCGTCGCGGCGTCGGCGAGCGCTAACGAACCGTGACACTCGCGCTCCACCGCCGCGGATTCGTTTCACCTTCGTTCTATCCGGGGTTTACGATCGCCGCAGCCTCGTTAACAATCATCGTCGGCCAGCCACACATTGTACCGATCGATCCGCTGTAAATTCCGAGCGTAAAGATGGCCGCCGCGCACGGATCTCCGGCCAGCGGCCCATAACCGCCGCGCCCGCCGAAGGAAAGTAACGACGTTCTCATTAAACGTACGCGGCTTTATAACTGTGAATAATTATATCCGCGGGAAGGAGAGTCGATTATATTCGTAAGAGACACGCCGGCGTTAATTGGGAACCGGAGAAAATACGCGCGCCGCTCGGGCGGTATTTTAATGAAGCGCGCCGGGTAATTCTGATTCTGTGACCGATGCATTTATGAATAAAGATTCCATTTATGGGGAGCACGCTTAACACCGAATTTACTCGCGCTGAATTATTTCATTGAGAATGAACTTTCACTGCCGAAACGGTGGAAGTCCGTTGCGACGATCGTTGCCATTCGTTCGTCGTGCCACTGGAAAATACTAGTGCATCGCGATAAACGAGTCTATTTTGAACGAAGACTAATCGAACTCCTAGATCGTACGTTCAAATCAATTTCCTCGATGGAATCATAATGTACCACTTACCAATCGCGTACCAAGAAAGTAAACCAACAAACATTTCTTCCCATGTATATATATTAACGCTTACTCCAATTAATCCCGAGGTTGTAGCCGTCGACATAAAACTCATCTTAGATTTATACGCCGACCCGATATACGCACGCTCGCCGGCAACGAGGCTCTAACTGGGTTACCGGCTATCAACAACTCAATCAGCGTTAGCCGAACGGCCCTCGGGGTGTCGTGGGAATAACAAACGCGAGTCGATCCATCGCCGATTCGTTCCTGTTCCGCTAATCGCCGGGCGTCGCGCGAACGCTGGCCCAGAAACCGGCGCGCCGATGCAAAAATTGTATTTTTATCGGCCCGCCGGCCGAAGAAACCGGCGGTTCCGCGTCAACCTCCTTTCCATCCGCTCGTTTTCCTATCTGGGACTGAAGGACACCGTTCGCGGAAGATTTAGTAGAATATATCCGTCCCCGGCGACCCGGTTCGGGATGACGGACGCGCGCCTCGGCCCCTCGACCTTCGGCGCGCGCGCGATCCGCACGTACACAACGCGCGCCGCGGACCGGATGTGCACCTTGCCGGTGCACTTTCCCCTCGGCCGAGCGCGGTATCCCGTCCGGCGCTGGCTGGCGTCCCGCCATTTTCCATCTCGATCCCGGCCGAGATCCGACTAGGCCGGTTTTTCGAGGCCGTGGCGGCGCGCACTTGAAATTTCGCCGGTGAAACAGCGAAAAAAGAAACCGTTTCGGAGGTTCCTGGAACGCTGGAAAGTCGGCGGCCGCGCGTGATTTCTCTTTTCGACGCGGATCCGGGAGGATTTTCGGACGATCGAGCGTCTTCCGTTGATCCTTCCGTTGTTACGCCGGTTTCACGCTTGGAAATGGCATTTTCTTGTTTTCTCAGTAGATACGAGGTATCTTAGCGTTTATCGAGTTCTCGATGACATTGCCTCGATGTTTGGTAGCTATCATTAGTCGAGTGACACGTTGATAGTCAATTATTCGACTGGATATTCTAATCGATGATTAGTAATTCAAAAACGTTACAATTTTGAATAAAACATTTAATTGATAATATTAATGGTGTTTGACGATATTTGAATACTGATAGACCATAACAGCCGAACGGCAACATTAACGCGCTTTACGACGTATACTCGAATAAACTTAATACCCAGTAAATCCTTCGCGATTGCTTCAACGAAAGCGGCCGCGATAAAACAAGCATTAATCCACGGTTGCCGCTGGACGAGCTGCAACGATAGATCAACGTTCCAGCGTCGAGCGCGTAGCGACCGCAGCGCCGCGGCGGAGACTTCAACGCGTGGTCGGCGATGCTCGCCGGCAAGCCGGCGTCGGAGCGACTGAGATGAGCGTGGAATGAACGAAGGCGTCGGTGTTTTTCTAAAAATTGTATTTGACTGTAGAATCCGTGTTACAAAACATTGAATGAGCTGTTGTTTCCAAGGGGAGTTCGTTTAAACTGGACTAGATGGTGGTCAGCTGCGATGAGTGCGGGGAATGTAAAGGGCGTATTTCGTTGTACAATGGTGCGCGCGCCGTAGCCGCGACAACGGTCGTTGCACGCGTATGCAAGCGTTGCGACTAGCCTCTATGTTTTGATTGCGACGTGACAAGTGTTCATCCGTTCTGTTCGTACACGCACACGTTGACGATTGACGATACGACGTATATTATATTTACACCGGGGCCTGCGGGCTGGCCCGCTTTGCCATTCGATCGTGATAAATAAGACAATAAATATATCCTCCTAACCGGGTCTCCGGGGTTTGCCTCCTGAAACGATTCTCTTGTCATCGGGGCGTCCGTTATACCGCCGATACCGCGCGAATCAAGGAAAGGACGGGAAATTCGCGGAGAGGGGAGAGCGGGGAAGAGGGACGGGACGGAGGAGAGGAGGGAGAGACGGTTTACATTAATGAAACTCCTAAGGAATTAATGGTGGTAGCCGGAGTAGGCCTGGCTCTGCGCGTAGCCGTGCCCGTCGTCCCATGAACCACCCGAGGACCATCCTCCCGACGAAACTGGGCCGGACCAGCCGACGGACGACGACGGGCCGCTGCTCCAGCCGTGGTAAGGGGTGACGTCGTGGCCACCTTTGGCCCACAGCGACTTCAGCCCGATAAAGGCCGAGATCGCGAGCGAGACCAACGAGACGAAGATGGCCTTCTTCGCGATGAAACCGGTCACGAAGTAAGCCAGGGTGGCCAGGGCTCCGATTTTCGCTTTCGCCGCGATCAACAGGGGCAGCAGCTGTTTCAGCTGCTTCTTCTTGCCTCGACCTGGAATTCATGGGAACGTATAGTCGCCGTGGTTCTTTAGGTACACTTTCGAATTGGAATAGAATACTCTCGTAACTCTGTTACATCTTCGATAGCTACTCAGTTAACTAATAGAGGTAATGAGAAATATTCGATGTTATTAAAACTAGCTATTAAACAGCTATCGAAACATTCAATCATCTTCCAAGAGACCCAAGCACGATCAAGTCAAGCAGACCATTTCCCAAATATCTGCTAGAACCTGAATCCCCGTTTCTCAAGATCTCCCACAAGACACTTATTCGAATCCATCGATTTACCTTCGACAACTAAGTCAACAGCCTCCCGGACCTCTTCCGGCGCGGACTCGCTGATCGCGCGTGCGGACGTGCCGATCTTCTCGATGATAGGCGTGAAGTTGATCTGCCAAGAAACGAATCGTAAGAGCTAGAAACCTCGCGGAGGACGAACGGAACGTGGAACCTCTATTTACCCTGAGACTGCGTCCACTGAGGAACTCGCCGGCCTCCTCGCTGACATAATTCACAAGCGCGTCCTGCCTTTCGGAGACACTGTTAGCGGCGTCGATCTCCTGATCGTAGACCAGCTGCTTGCCGGTCCGCGAGCTTCTCCCCTGACTGTCGCCGCTCTTCACCAAGGTAACACCACTGAAGATCTCCATGCTGTCCGAGTCGAAGAACTCCTTCGCCCTTCTGTAGAGGTTCTTCTGCACGCAGGAGATGCTGTCCTTCTCCAGGCAGCTCTCGATGGTCTGCCCCTGGACGGCGAGCACCGCGGCGGCGACGACGGTCACAAACGCGGAGAGCTTCATGGCGGCTTCCTGGTTCACCGTCGGGATCGAGGATGTACGTGGAGTGGAGAGAGAACGAACAGAACTTGCGTCCGCCGCGACTGAACGAAACTGTCTGGTACGATGACGGCCGGCTTTTCCCGAAACCCGTCCCGTCGGTAGTGAAATTTCGTGTGGTCCATCGTACAATCTCTTTAGCTTATATTTGGCGGGCCCCTCCTCTACCGTCGCCTGCCTCGCCGCCCCACCTCGCCTCTTTTTTCTTCCTATTTGCCTTGCATGAGTGTGTCGTCACCGATGTTCGTCGCCGGCCGTACCCATGGTGCCCCGTTCCGTCCGGGCCGTTTTAGCCCGGCCTAACCCGACGGAACCACTCGCCCAATGGCCCGCCCGACAGCTTCGCCCCTTTGTGCGCGCGGACACGCCGCCCATACGTCCGAGCAACGCGACCTGCGACCTGCCCACCGCTCGGACACGGGAACCGGCCCACGGCGAGAAATCTTCTCTTAAGCTTCGTTCCCTTTTCACTCGCCTACGAAGTTTCCACGCGCTCGGCTCTCTTGCTCCTCCGCCGGGGAATCTACGGGTTTACTGTTACTTTCGGAGATAAGCCGAGTACGCGGATTCTTACGGGATGGACTGTTTCGGGAATACGCGAAGGAGGATGTAAGAAACGAAGGGAATTGTAGGAACTTTAACCCTTTGCGCTCGAGTTTCTCGATGGGAATATTCAACGTTTTTTGACGAGATATAGGTTGTATTGTTTGAAACTAATTTGACGATAATTCATAGATAAATTAACACTTTGAATGAAAAAGTCGAGATTCTTTATGACGATTGCTCTAGTATCTTTCTCATATATCATACATCCAACAATATCCAGTTCTTTCGGTCGCTAACAAGAAAATTAATGTTTAACTTTACATAAAAAATGGCGCCACTCGAATTCGGGTGACGGCAGTTAAAGTGTTAAGTAAGAAAGGTGTTTTATTTATTATTTCACGTAGCAGTGCAAACTTTCATTTGAAATATTAAATATTCAACTTAGTTTTGTGTTGTCGAGTCACGTGGTGACTGAGTCACCTCTCGAGTACAAAGACGAATGATGGGAATTATTTAGGTTACATGTGTCTAGATAGAGATTTAGGGATGTGACTCAACTTGATCGTTTATAGTTCACTGGCACGCAAGGTTCTGCATAGCCTTGCTTCCTGCGTCTATTAATTAGCACGTAATTGAGATAAATATTCATCAATCCGTAATTAAAAGAATCAGGGTACGGTGTCTTTTGCGCATCGAGTGCTCGCCCTAAAGAGGGTTAATGTCCATTGGGGAGAGATGATCAGAAAGCGGCCCAGTAGGACGTGGCTGTGATCTAAGCGTGACCTTCGACTGAACATGAGAAAGAGGTGATCCACCGGCAAGTTCAAGGTGACCTACAATTAGTCTATAAATAAAGGAAGCCTAATTGATGTAGAAACGAGGCGCCAGTGATTCATAGGCAACGTTCATTCCATTATAGTACAAAGAGGAGCTGTAATCAAGTTAACGACATCCTCCAAGACGTTTCGAACGCATAATCGTCGATCGTTTACCTATGGAATAAACATCAAAATCATCAGCCCCTTTCCTTTTCCCAATAAATCATTAACTCAGCTCCACCGAGTGTAATTTCAACGAAAAATCACAGGACAAGGTAGTAATAATACCTGAAACGACATTACGAGGTCTGATTCATCGATTACACCTCATTCCCATCTCTCCGCGCGTTTCCTCCTACGAATCACGATCAACCCCTTTCCTTCTCCCAATAAATCGTCAACTCAGCTCTACCGAGTGCAATTGAAACGAAAAATCACAGGAAAATGCGTTAAAAATACCTGAAACGACATTACGAGGTCTGATTCATCGATTACACCGCCTCATTCCCATCGCTTCCGCGCGGTTTCTCTTACGAGCGGGCGTCGTGCAAGTATCGGCGGACCGGCAATTAACGCCGCGGGAAGAGCGGTAAATCGTGTACCGCCGGTTAGCGGCACCGAGCGCCTCCGATAAGAGCAAAGGAGAAAACTAGGGAACGCGCACGCTTAGGGCAGCGGCCGGCGCGCGTGTCGGAGCGTACCGTTCGATGAATCCTCGCGTCTCGGTCGCGATTTCCACAGGAAGCCGCAGAAATCACCGTCGTGGCACTCTCTCCTGCCACTTCGTCGTCGTCCTCCTCCTCGTCTTCGTCGTACACGAAACGCGATCGTCATGAATGAAAGAAAACTGGTATAGATCAGGTTCAAACATCCCGGATCCGACCTTCATCGGAGCGCTCGCGCTCGCGCGGACACCACTTTCTACTCTGACCCCGGGCCGGCTCTCACGCGGCCGGCCGATAACGCCTCTTGTCGTTTTCGTTTCGTTCCTTCTCTGCGGTCACAAGACGCCCGTGGAATTTCGGTTGCGAAACACCCGCGTAGGTGCCACCGGCATCAGAAATTCCGGGAACGCGCGACGCTCGGTAATCAGCCAGCGTACTCGCCGCGGGATTTACCGTGCGAACCCAGGGATTCCTTTACGATTCCGTGGGTGTGTTTGTTTTCTGCCTCGCCGGGAAGAAAGTTAGGCTCGATCGGAGAAACTTTTCGTTGGGCAACCGCGCGATTCTTCGGAGACAATGCCAGGGATCGTTTCTTGGATTTTCGTGGAGCTAATTGCGTGATTTTTGTCGATTGTGATCAATGTGACTGTCTTAATTATTTAGGGCTACAGGAGAATTCTGGGAAGTGTTGCTATAAAGTGTAATGTTTAATTTGTATTTGGAAGGATTGAGTAATTAACTCGTTGCAACGCTTGATTTCGGTTTTATTGGAGTATGATTTATTTCTACCGGTTAACCGATCGATGATTATACAAGATAGATGCAAGTTTCGTAATTTTATAACAGAGAAATCTACGAGAACTTCCTGTTACTTCACAGCATCGAATGAAAACGAGATAAGACGTGAAGATCGACTCTTCGCAATGTTTCATTACTCATATCTGTTCCTTATATCTAGCTAATGTTACCAGCTTCAAACTGGTTCTTCATCTGCTGTGTATGGTAGTCTATTTGTACGGAATATGATAAGCAGAAATCATTATGCAACTCCTCGAGTCTAAACGAACAGAAAAATACACCCCATTTTTCTCCTAAAAAGAATTTTATTAGAAACAGAATTATTTCTTGACAACTCACAAAACACTAACTAAATCAAACACACACCATTTATATACTCAGACGCTCTTGTCTCACTCACACACTTTTTAGAACATTCTTTCATTGCCATTAACTTCACATATATTTGGAATATTCTAGATTCATAAAAAAACGAACATTATTAACATATAGAGAAAATCAATATAATCTAGAATATTCCAATGCTTTGAACATTCATTCAAAACTCACTCCCACACAGATCGATATATCTATTCACACACTCAATTACATCCATTCCCACAATCATTATCAATCGAATAAAAGAATTCTCTAGCAAAACTCATTAATGGAATCATGTACATTCCGACGACCTCGATTTACCGAGTCCGAGAGACAAAAGGCAGACGTAACTCCGCTCGGTTAACCGAGTTGACATAATCAACGGCGCGGCGTGGAAAAGTCGGCGGACAATAAAAGCCGCGCAATCACGCTAATAAGCCCAGGAATGCTCTCACCGCGATTAACCCCTTGGCGTATTTACTTTCGTTACTCGCGTAATATTTTACTATGGACAATTTGTAAGAAATACAAGAAAATTTTCCATTCTACTTCAGGTGGAAATTTCATTTGAAGATAATTGATAATAGCAAAATGTTTGCTTTGATCCGTGGCTAATGAACAACATAGAAATATAGGCATAACATATGCTTAGAATTTTTCTCTTTTTCTAAGAAATTATTAATGACAAAGTAGCCGTATCGATCAGAGTTGAGAAAGAAGTCATAGGCCAAGGGGTTAAAGTAACATATGTTGGCATCTTGTTGATTTATTTCATTTTACACTCGAAGAGTTGAATAAAATTAAGTAATCAGTTAACTTAAACTTCCATACGCTCAGGAGTGAAAGTTTAACGTCATTATAACTTGAATGTTACGAAATATATTCGTTTGATGAAATTATGGAAACTATTGAATACATTGTTAAGTCGTATTCATATGTGGATATCTATTAATATTGTAGTGCATAGATTTTGTTGTAGTCACGAACAAAAATTCGGCCCATAAAGTCTCACTCGTCATTGGCAAGGGGTTAATTCGGCCGCTGACATGGACGGGACGGCGTCGGGTCGCCGCGGGACGTGAAGGGACGTCGATGAAAAGGAAATTCGCGTGATCTTACGTCAGTACTCATTCATCCTTTCTCGGCGATCTCGGCCGCCGCCGCCGGTTCGGTATCCTTTCGTCGATCCTTCTTCGCTACCGGCGGAACCTCTTGAAAAGTAAAACCAAAGTTTCTCCTCCACAGCGGAACGACAACGCCGGACACGCCCAGACACCAACGAAAAGGTAAAATCGCTTCGCTTAGATCATGGGTAGTAAGAGCAAGATGATGATGATGACGATGAAAATGATGAGGATGATGATGATGATGATAATTACTGGGCTCCGAAGCCGATAGACCAACCGCGAAATTAGGTGCGGCTGTTATTTATCGCTCGGATTATGTAAACTTTCACCGGGATTAAGGAGCCCGTATCTTGATCCGCTTTTTCTACTGCTAAGGAGAATGATTCGATGTTTCACCGGATCCCGCCGGGTAGCGCTGCGGAAAAGTAATTAAGTTAGAGGTTTATTGGTGCGCTGCGGGATGAGTCAGCGCGGGTATTGGAGAATTAAGAATGAAGTGGGCAGGAGGGGATTTTAATCTTTGGGGATTGGAATTTGAAGCTTGAAATCTGGAATTCGGAGATTGAAGTTTGAAATTTGGAGTTTGAACGTTTGGAATTTGAAGTAAGGAGTTGGAAGTTTGAAGCTTGAAAGTTTCGAGTTTGAAATCT